CATTGCAAAAACCGTCAATTGTCTCACCAATCAAGCCCCATTGTGTATTCAATGCCTATTTAATCGCAGAGGATGGTAAAGGGTGGATCTCACATATAGGATCCGATATTCCGGCACCCGACGAGATCAATCCCCTGTTCCACCCCTGTCGACTTATATAATTGAAAAATACAATACCCTGAGTATCTGCAATTAGCAAGAAAGGAGGCAGATAAAGCATTAAAAATTAAAAGTTCTATATACAAATGTGCTTTCATCCACTTCTCAATTTTCTGAAAAAAAGTCTTTGATAAGTGAAATGATAATTAGAGACAGAAAAATCAGTGCTTTTGGCGGTAATAAACGAGTGCGCTTCGCGGTTAACAAAAAGAAGCCAAAAGCTCAAATCCGCTTTCAGCCGACATAAAAGTCACAATTCCAAATGGGATTTGTAAAGTTTACGATATTATTCCTGCGCCATTCTCGCTTATAGAAAGTATTATCAAGATCTCGCCAAGTTTGGCCTTTCAAAAGAAACCATCGTTCAAAGAGTATTGGAAAAATTGGGCCAACGTGAAAAAAGAGAAATGGTAGTTATACTGCCATCCAGATTTATTGAAGCGATTTAAATGCAGGACGGTCGGGCTTATCATAAAAGTGGCAACTTGCGAAATAATTGAAGTTAACAGACCTTTACTTAGTCTCCCTTATACCTACCTACCTAATTATAAAAATTATTAAAATTGTGAATTGACGATTTCAAAACTATTTTTATATATATTTTATCTTCTAATCAGTTACAAGTACCTTATACTTTACACAAAAGCAAAGTATTAATTTCGCAAAAAAATAAGTGAATTCGAAAAAATATGAAAATTTATTCCTCTAAAATGTTTCAAATGTTGAATGAGATAAAAAATAGTTGCGCTTATAAACATATTTACAATAATACTTACCTTTACAGGGTGAATATAAAGTATGAAACCAAGCGTTTTTTAAAATCGTTTGCCTCCCGAAAATAATAGTTACATTTTAGAGTAGGTAATATAAAAAATATGATTGTATTTTGAAAACAAAATTTTGTTTTGTTTTTGAGTTATGCGATTTTTTGTCAAAATTGCATTTTTTTTAAATTAAATATAAAGTAGATGGTTGTAATCCTTAGATCATGATCTAAGTTATGGTTATGCATAACCTTTATGAGAAATATGGTTGTATAGTGGGTTGCTACTTAATTTTTTTTTTGTAAAACTCAAAAATAAAACATAATTTCGAAAAATTTTATTCTTTATAAAACATCACATTTTAGTACCTACTTTATTATTTATCAATTAGTTTTGCCAAGAAATAAATAGCTTAAAAAAACGTTTTGTCCCATACTTTTTATTTTTTACCTGGTATGTATCTTTAAACAAATACAGGCTGAAATTATTAAGTATACACCACCTAAAAAAAATAAAATCGTTGTCTCATCTCAATTGGATCACAATGTATGCACATACAACAATCATACAGGGTGATTCTTAAATAGACCGACAAAATTTTATCCTTGGTAGTATCAAATGAAAACATGCTGGAAAAAATATTTAAAAAATTCTTTGTTTAAACATTCTCCAAATAAAATTTATTAAAGTTATTTTCAAAGTAAAGTGTACGCCACTGATGTGTTCGTAAATAGCACCGCCTCCTTAATCAAATGTATCAATATACCGCCTGGGCATTTCGTAAAAAATGCATTGGAGCAGTGATTCCGATTTTTTCTTAGTTACGGGGGTTACTAAAGAAAAACTGAATAATTTTTAATTATTAACGAAAAATGACGCAATTAATAAATGCTGTGAAGGAAGGATACAACAAAACTAGATACGCCAGGGAGAATTGATATTATGAGATTGAACCCTTTAAGCTAAAAAACTGGATTTGTCAAAAATTTTCCCCAGATTAAAGCGCCAACGGGAATCACTTGAACTCAAAAAATGCCCAGGCGAGAAAAGGATTATTTCTATGGAGACGGCGATGGTAAATAGTATTAGAACATGTAGTGGAAACCATGGTATTAACTTGATGAAAATGTACTTGATCATTGCAACAATTCATAAACGCCGTAAGTGGCACGGATCAAGGGGGTTTTGCCTCTAATTATCCTTGGGAAGCTGTGATAAAATTTTCGGTCTATTTAAGAATCACTCTGTATTTATAGGTATGCATCTACATAAAAAACAAAATATCTTATAGTAGAATATTTGCACTAAACAAACACAATCCAAAACTTAGATGCTTTTCTGAAACGCACTATCAAGAGTTTATTATATTTCCAAATATTTTTTCGGTTTCATTCTATTGAGAACCTACTGACTATACATTAAAAAATATATTAAATAAAGTGTACAAATTTGCTCTTTACTTTATGTTAAAAACATTCTATACCAGGATCAAATAACAGAAAAATTGTCACAGATTGAGGCATTGACAAACGTCAAACAAATTAATTCTGTAAAAATATTGAATTTTTTAATGAAAAATTTAACAAACCATTTCTTAAAGAAAATTATTCATTAATAATGACATTGACAAAAGAACAAATCATTATTAACTTAATATTTTTTTAACTGTTTTTTCAAAATAAAATTAATTAACATAATTTTTGAACGAAATAGGTTTTCTCTATTTTAAACTAGATTCTATGTAAAACAACAAATGAATTAAACTATTGTTTATTTGCGAGAAGAAAAATTAATTCCACGTGTGCCTTTACCACGAGTGGTGTAATTCTTTGAGTAGAAGCGAAATTAAAATTTAATTCAGAATTAGGTAAACTAATTCGAATTAAGTTGCCATTTATTTTGCATTGACAAACGTCAAATTTAAAATTTAATTGCGATTAACACGTTCTGTAAACCGGCCCTAAGTTTTCTATTAGTTGTGCAATTGTCATTAAAAACGAATCAAAATTATTTATTTAATTAAACCAGGAAAAAACGGCAAAATTATTTCAAATATTTTAGTTCTGCTTTTATTTTTTGATAATTGTAATACTTTTAAATTAAATAAAAACGTTTAGTTTTATAAAAACATAATTTAACAAAAACCAGTTCTTAAAGAAAATTATGCATTAATAATAAAATTAAATTAAGTAACATAATCTTTGTACGAAATAGGCTTTCTCTATTTTAAACTTGATTTTATGTAAAATAAATAATTTATAAAATAATTTTATTTTGAAACACTTAAAAATATATTAAATAAATAATTATTTGTTTTTTCGTCAATGTCAATTAATGCATAATTTTCTTCAAGAAATAGTTTGTTAAATTTTTCATTAAAAAAATTACATTTTCATTTAACTTGACTTTTGTCAATGCAAAATAAATGGCGACTTAATTCGAATTAGTTTAATAATTGTGAACTAAATTTTCATTTCGCTTTCTGTAAACCGGCTCCTAAAGGAATTTATCTTGAAACTACGTCAAGTTTGCAATCCGATAATTTACGATCCTGCCTGCTTGCGGTTGGAAGGGTCGGCATCCACGGCAGGGGCTGGTTTATTGAAGCGTCATTTTCACTTTGTTCGATTGTACCTATGTAGGTATATACCTACTCAAAACTATCTTAAATTCTTAAAAACCATCTGAAAACGACAATTTTTTTAGCAACTTAAATATTTTGAGTTATAACAGCAAAAATTTATTTGTTAATATTAATTAAATTTTTGATGTTTTTTTTTTCTGTAAAAAAAATACTCAAAATCAAAAAAATATCAAAAATTTGATTGAAAGCATCGTTATTCTACAAATTAATATTCGTTATGATTTTCTAATAAATTAAGTAAGTAGTACTACAGTATATTTGATGTGCCTGATGATGCCATAGGGCGAAACCGGTCGCAATCTTCTAATAAATTGTGCAGCAGTATACCTATCTATTGGCTCTATTACTTATAAGCATGGGCGCCCACAGGGGGGAGGGCAGTGGGGGCCGTTGCCCCCCCCCCCTGGGACAATAGTGGTTGCTATTTTATATAAAAAAAGATTTTTTTTGATGTTTCACAAACTCGTTCCAACTTAAATTTTCATGAACGAAATAAGAAACTACTATTTACATTTTTATCACGAACTGAGTGATATAAAAACAGACGAATAAAATTGTTATTATTAATTTCGACTCTTTTTTTGTCCCCCCCCCCCCTGACCATAATTTCTGCGGGCGCCCATGCTTATAAGTCGGTACAGACTTGATATTTCTGATGAAATATTTAAAACATGATTAGTGATTATTTATTGTGAATATGAGAAAAAAACATTTCATTTAAATCTACAAGAAATCCATTAAAAATAAATAAAGATAATAATATTATTCTCATGCGAAAAGTTAATATCGTAAAATGTATTATTTTATCCCCTATACTAAGTACCCCCATCAAGCTTGTTTCAAAGTTCATTTTCAGGAGACTTCAGTCTTATAAGATATACTGATATCATTAGAAGATATCTCAACCAATCCGAAACAAACTAGGCGGAGTTTAAACAATCGATGTGTGGTGGGAGACCATCCTATGGCGACAGCAACAAGTGTTCGAGAATTCAAACCTGAGAAAATAAACCACTAATCCAATTCTTGTGTTCGAGGCCTATTAAATCCGGTTGCAGATTCAATTTAGCTAAACGGAAATTAAACTGTCGTTTGTAATTTCACACAACGTTTAGTTATTAACCTCGCACCAATTTCCTAATGACAGGCAGGTATAAATATTATTTATTTATCTATTTGTTTTCATTTCTTCATGCACCAGCATTTACGTGTGCACTTTTTAATTATACTTAATAATTTGAATAATCCTAAATGTGATAAAACGTTATCAATTAAAATTACAATAATTTTGTGTGATTTGTAAAAATATTTGGTTTGTTCAAGGCAAATGAGCAATTTTTAAGCTTCATTGTATCGTTTATCTATTATCTGCGGCGGGATTGGAACCCAAAATTTGTATAATTCACGCGCATAACACGCCCCTTTTCATGCACTTCCCTCCACCCTCCTAAATCAACAAGCTCGGGGAAGTGTTTTCAGATCACAGCGTGGTGTCAGTTCATCTCAACCACAACCCAGTGCAAGTTAGAAAACGATCTTATAACAAACAATCCCACTTGTGTCAAAATAATGCCCTGAATTATCGTGACATTTGTAAAAATTTTAGTGAGTCCAAAAATGTCCTCACCGAAACCCATCCATCATGGTCAAGAGCACATCAAGCGGCCCATGAACGCGTTCATGGTATGGTCACGAGGACAACGCCGTAAAATGGCCCAAGAAAACCCAAAAATGCACAACTCCGAAATTTCCAAACGGTTGGGTGCGGAATGGAAACTACTAAGTGAGTCAGAGAAAAGACCCTTCATCGATGAAGCCAAGCGATTGAGGTAAGAGTTTTTTAATTCAAGGTGGAGGTTCCCACATGTATTATTTGAGGGGGTAAATAAAACCGCCCTCCTCATCTCAATAAACAGAGATTTTGGGTGATTCAATATTACAAAGCAGGTCGTCTGTTTTACAAAAGATAACAGAGTGCCCTATGAAAACCAGCCTTATTCCTCCTTTTATAAGGGGTGGATTAAGTCGTGGCATATTAATAAAGTCATAACGAGGTATTATAGGGTGGCATTTCTCTATTTTACGGATTAAATTTAAACAATGCTTGTGTAAACGCTAGGGTGAGTTGAACGTAATCGGTCAATCAAAAATAAACATTTTTTCCTATTGAATGAGTTAATCTTGCAGTATATTAAAGTTTTGTGTATTTTTTATTATTATGAAATCAACAATAACATTGTGTTTGTTGTGTGTATTCCCAAGACAAGGTGTTTGTTGAGTGATAAAGAGAAGAATGAACATTTATATATCTTACAAAGACGTCTATTATCTAATATACACAAGCTCTGTACATTTTCAAAAATATACCTACAAGGAACCGTGAATCAACGATTATTTCAGGTTTGTGTAGTATATAAATACGGAAATGGTTATCAGTAGTTGGGCGCGATGATAAAGTACTTAGGTGATATTTGCTCAGGTTTAGATCAATTTCATTTACACTATAGAATATTTCGAATGTAAATATTGAAGATGATTGTTTTGTTTAAAGAACCGTCTCATATTATTTTCTCACTTTCCAAATTGTAAATATATAAATTTGAAACGAAATCTTATCAGTTTAATTCACGTCAATATTTAAACCGAAAATTTTAACGTTGGTATTAGCTTCAAGAATACAACATATTTAATTCAGTATTGCATTATTTTATTTTATTCTTAAAGGCATTGCATTTCGGTATTTACTAAGTTATTACAGATAGCAAATGATAAAAAATATTATTGAATAAAACTAAAAATGTAGGTATACCTACTAAAAGCAATAAATATTTTTTTCTGCAAAAGCAAATAAAAAGTTTATAGTTATTAACGTCATAAGGCCAATATACAGCAAATAATAGACCATAAGATTGAAGATTGTAAAATCAAGACAAACCCGAGATTTTACCAGAGTTGGTCAATTCGACCACCAAATAAATTTAATCCTCTTCCGGCAAAAATTACTATTAATCGCGTCTGTTATTTCGTTATTTCCGTTCAATACTTTCCGTGATTGTAAAATATTTTTACAAAATTATTCAAAATCATATCTAATGTCAAATTTGACGCAAGTAGCCTTTTGAGTGTGCTTTTTGTATAGCACCATCCGTTAACGGCTTTTAACGACCAAGGGTGGTTTGCACCAACACTATCTAAATTCAATCTCTGATTAAAAACAATTTTAACTATGATAATAACAATGGTTAAAAACTAGTGTTGGTGCAACCCACTCCAAGACTGTTATCGTTGCCATAACAAGCATGGAGGCACTACCTATAGATACGATCAAATAACAATCAATCACAGTTGTATATGAATAATTTTTAAGTAGTTTTGTGTTTCACTATTCAAAAAACTATCACAACCATAAAATATAATATCTATACATAACTTGAAGATACTTGGCAGTTGGTATACGAAATTTATTATAATCCGACTTTGTTGTCATAAGTAATAAATAGGTACTTAATTAGTTCTATTTGTTATGCAAAAAAATATTTAATTAAAATTTTCTGAATAGCTATTTCAAGCAGTCATACTGAAAGAAAAAACTGTTCATTCGTTTGTTTCTTGGTGAAAATATTGAAATTGTTAATGATGATTTTTAAAGTCATCTTTCGTAACGTTTGTGGCACAGTCCACAATTTTCACATAAAGCTGCTGCCACATTTTTTAAAATTTTGTTCAATTTATTAACACATTTTTTTCAAGCTTCAATAACTTAAGAAAAACTTCTCTTTAATATCGATTTGAGACTGGTTGTTGCTGCAAAACTTTGAAAAAAAAAACTTTGAACTTCGATACATTATATTACTGCTACTATAATTTTAAAACTAAGTACTTATATCTCGTTCCATAGCTATCGACACACTGGCAACGTCGCAACGACGTTTTTTGCAGTAAAATAGGTCAGAAACATTTGATTTCTGTGTAAAAGATCTGTGTTACAACTGAACACTACAGTGACAAATTTTGAGCCAGAAAGTTCCACTATTTCATACAGAAAAAAATATTGTAAAAAGTGACAAAAGTGGCGATAGCTATGGCACGAGATACAGACTGTCCCACGAGTAACAACGAGCTTAAATTTTTTTGACGCAATCAATATTACATTTCAAAAGTTAAAACTTTAGTAAATTTGGTGAAATTTACTAAAATGTTTAGCAATAACGAAAAGACCGATACAATTCTCATTTATGGAGAATACCTACTCTAAAAACGATTCGTATTACGCTGCACGTGCGATATCCAAAGACGGACTCGGGGTATAAACTCTGTCAAAAATGAAAATACAATCACTATGTTTTATTAATTAAAACCAAATACATATTTTAATATCCACGTTATCTTCGAAATGTAATATTAGTTGCTTCGAAAATTTTTTCAGACTTATAATTACTCAGGTAAATTAATCAAATGTAAATAAAAAAAATTGAAAAACTTAACCAAAGTACAATTCATTAAACTTATTTATTTAATACAAATAATAAAATTTTCCCTTTTTAAACATACCTACCTTTTTATGTATAAACATGTTGTCTGGGTTGTAACCCAGACAACAAGTGCATGTTTTCAACTGTTTATTCAAGAGAAATAAAAATAAAACAACAGTAAGTTATATTCAAATAAGCCTTGACTTATTTATTAAAATAAAACCATTTCTCATAACTCGCTCAGAAAAAGCATGAAAACGAAACCCAAATGTACATAATTCATTTCCGGGTCTGAGCCTCTTAAGAAGCATATAAAACGTAACTTGTTATCAGTTCTATTTACATATTCCAAAAGTCGTTTTGTTCACAAGCCACCCCAAAACACCGGATATTTGTTTATGCCCCTTTCTTTATCTTCATTGTAACGTAGAACGGCGAGATTTTTAAGTAAATTTCATATTGCAAGCATTTTATCACAATCTCACATTTTTCCGTAAATTATTCGACAAAGAGTGTTCTTTGTCACGTTTATAAAAATATTTGTAAATGTAATAGGACACTAGTTCGAAGCTTGGAATTCTAACAATACACTATCTAACCCAACATATTCAGCTGGCGACAAAAGATAATGCTTCCATTGTAAAGACACATTGAGTACCTCCTGTGATCCTATTCATAGGGAGATTGTCTCGGCTCGCGCTCTGTCTCCAATCCCCTCAACTACAATGCCTCTTTCACGCGCCACCTCCTTTTGTTCTATCCGAGCAATTGGAGTATTTACCTCCACCGACGCTCCCAGAACGAAAACAATGGCTTGATGTTACACGATGACAGAAAATGCTACACCAATACCAAGCCAAAATTTGGTAAAAAGTAAAAAATCACCCACATAATGCAAATCATCAAAGATGTTTCAGTCTTACAACAAAAAAATACCATTCTTGATTTTGATCTCAAAAACAATTTTAAAAAACGATTAGGTACATAGCACTTTATCTTTCACTAGCTATTTGTTTTCTGAAAGCAAACGGTCTAATTATAAAAAAAAACTTGATTCATGAACTTTGTCCACCGTATATTTCTAAAATATAGTCCAAAAAGAGATGGTAAAAACTAGTCAAAACTACAGAAGAGTAAAGTTTTACTTTTTTTTGAACTTATTAAATAAATTAAAAATACACAATTTTCTAAAAGTACAAATTTATTGCAGAGCCCTCCACATGAAGGAACATCCTGACTACAAATACCGTCCACGAAGAAAGCCCAAACCCCTCCTCAAGAAAGAACCAAAATTCGGCTTCTCAATATCGCCACTAATCTCGCCACCCATGGACGGCCAGAGCATACCAAGATCCATGGTTCCTCCCATCTCCGTCGCCACAAGCCTTCCATCCCTCCTTTCGCACCATCATCCCGACCAAGACCCCCTAAAAATCCCCCGAACTCTCTTCCCTCCACTCCCTTACTTGTACCCTTTTCGGCACCCGGAAGAATCCAAATTCGCCGCTGAACTAGCCCTCCTGTACAGTAACAGCCACCTATACCCCCCGAGCATCAATTGGCCCCTCAACAATCTGACAAGCAACGTCAATGGTCCTTGTAACATTTGCCCTCCCGCGTTTCCCCGCCGAACTCCCAGTCCCGAGGCCATGAAAAGACCCGTCTGCGTCATAATGAAAAACGACGAATTTCGAAACGAAACCATTCCTGCAGGCCACGTTATATGAAAACCACTTCCGGTTCTTCCGGAAAGGTTGAACCTAGGAACTTGGTTTAGTGATATAGCGAATTTAGCTACTAGTTCGGTAGGATCAGCACCGCAAACGACGAATTCTTTGAATGTGGGCCAAGATGGTGCCTCCGGGAGGGATAGTTGCAGTCCGGGAGCTTTGAGTGACAAAATCAGTTCTTATAATAACTAAAGTTTGTTGTGTGATACGGTGTCTAATTTACGCAAAGTTTATTGAATTTTAAAGATAATAGAAATATAATTATGTGTTATATGAGAATTAAGATAATTGTGCGGTTTTAGTATTTTGCAGGGTTGGTGCAATTACTTTTTATTTAGATAAACGTTTTCATGTTGATCATTAATAGAATTTGATTGAATTGATTTTGTTTTATTGCGATTTTTCCTGTTTGTTACGTTTGGATTATTTTGTTATAACAAGATGTAAACAGATATGTTTGTTATTTTTGTTCTTTGGGTCCCAATAGAGTGTAGCATCAATGAAATAAATGTAATAAAATTGTTACGTACTAGAAAAAATAAATTTTTTCAAGACTTTTGTTTTTTTTATTTATTAAGAAATACATTTATATTATTACTTATCTAACAAAACCAATAAACAATATAAATGCTTAAATTAAGAAGCAATATTTTAGTGGAATTCTTGCAGAAATAGTACAAAGAGAGAAAATAATAAAACAATAGTAATTATGTATTGCCATCAATAATACATGACACGTCAAAACAATTAGTACACAATAACAAAAGAAAATACATTAAAAAAAAGTCCAAAAACTATTCAAATTTATAGAACAAATTATTCTTCAGCAGAATTCAGACATTTTTGTAGACTTTTTCACAGTTTAACTGGTTCAGGTAGCGTATTAAACATTTTGGTGGTGATTAGCAGTTGACGTTAGCGATTGCTGTTTCATATTAGATGATAGATCAGCGTTTTTCAGCTTCTCTTGTCTAGAGACACAAAATAGACAGATAATCAAAGAGTCAATTAATTTCACGTCAAAAAATTAGTTTATTTATACAAAAAACACATTTAAAAACTAATTTCTTCGAGGAGGATAGATACTTTTGTTTGCTAGTTACCAACTTGTGTTTTTTTTTTCTCAAGATAAAATTTATATATTTTATTTTGTACTCAATGTTAAAGAATGCTTTTATCTACTAATTTCAGTAGATAAAGTAGTCTTTTATCGTCTAATGAAATAAAGTAATTATTATCTACTGAAATTCTGGTAGATGAGTACAAAATAAAACGAAATATTATACACGACGATAAAGATTGTTTATCTACTCGTGAAAAAAAGTCCACTTGTGACTTCGTCACTCGTAAACTTAACCTTTTCACTCGTAGATAAACAATGTCTTTATCGTCTTGTATAATAAATAACTATTTAAAGCTTGTTCTCTTACTCTGATGTAGTCGTATAGTTTTTGTAATAGTACTTTATGATTTACGCAGTCAAAGACTTGGTATAAATTTAGACAGATTACTCCCATTTTTTTTGACTACCTATGAATTGATTACTTCTTCAATACCCCAGACAAAGCTGCAATTTTTATTGCCTTGCCGATGTTAATAAAAGTTAATGTTGATATTAAATATTGCTTTGTTCTTATTTCGCAGCTGCCTCCATGTACATACCTACAGTTACGACAGTTTGTTTTGCTTTTTGCATTATTTGTCTTCTCTTATTGTGTTAAATTGTGTTCTGTATTTTGTGATAAAAATATTGTTAGTTCATTTTCCTTGCGCTCTACGCTAATAATACACCCCAGAATAGAAACTCTTGAATGTGTGCTAGAGATTCCCAATGAATATAGTCTTTGTACCGATTCATTCGGTCGTTACAAATAAAATAGGATTATTTTCACACATGTCGAGTTCGTGTGTATATTGTTGGAAAAATCAATGGTAGGGGTAAACGAATTATTTTTTCCAAATTGTTTCAGAATCCGTATTTAAATTGTTACGATAAGCCCACACTCCCAACCGCTCTGTAAGTTAATTACTTGCGACAACTTGGGTAATTTGTAACAATTAAAAAGTTTTGTTTGCGTCTTGGCATCTGATACACCACAGTGTACAAAGTTTACATATGCTAATTATAAGTTGGCGTTGTTAGGAAATGATACTTAATTACCAGCTAAATGAACTATAAATCTCCGTTACTTTGAAAAGTTTAAGTGGAATCAGTTGTTTACTCCGGAATATATGCAGACAGATATGAGCTCTTCGCTAACGCTCTTACACTGTTACCAACTACATTGTGCAAACTGTATCTTAATAATAATTTAAAAAAAGACCCTTTTGCAAAAATGTTAATGTAAAGCAGCACAATTTTGAGTATTTGACTGCAAAAATTAATTTCTAATTTGTGAATTTCATAAGGAATAGCTTTTGACTTTACAGTGTAGTCTATTAAAATCCTTGATTATTCGCTTGATAATGTTTTCCTTATTAAATTTTGTAAGCGACCCTAATGACGTTCTGATACGTTTAAGATGCTTTAATTATCATGCAAATAATTGGGTTACACATCATTTAATATTGTTCACTTTATCAACAAAGTTTGGGAAATGAAGTTCTTCAAACATTCAATTAGAGATTCCAGATATACTCCTTGAACAACAGTGAAACCTTGCATATGATTCACATATTCAAGAGCTGTTTTAATCCCGCTAAAACAAAAATTAGAAAATCGATCTTTAATATTGCCGCTTGTAAAATCGCAAGTGCACTTAATTTTTAACGAAATATTATTTTTTAATTTTTACGCAGCCCCCATCGAACGCTCTCTGGGCAATAAAGACCCTCAATCTGCACTCAAGTGGAAAACAGAAACAAAAGTGGATACATTACCATATACATAATAAAATGCGAAAGCTTAATTTGCAATTTCGCCGATAGAAAAAAGTAAATGTTTTTCTTTTGATGATTTTTTCGGTCGAGTGTGGAAATAAATGGCGAGGGGTAAGTAAATAAAAGGAAGCAAGTGGTCAGTTATGACACTACGTCATGTGATAGTCATCTTGTATTTCCTGAAGTTGACCAAAAGACGCTCATATATTCGTGACCGCCAAATGTTTATCTAAATAGAAAGCCCCCCGAAATGTGTGGAAATATGTATTCTGCGATACCCATAAAGATATTTCAGAATAAATATTTTCGCTCTATTTTAAATATTGAATAGAATCGGGCGTGGTTTTCGCCAGCAATTTGGTTTTCCCTTTGTATTGACTCATCGATTACAGAAAAATTCTTCAATTAAACTAAATATATGAATGAACGCGAGCTTATCTCCATGTTGAACAGAAATTATTAATGTACAGCTTCTGTCACTCTTTATCGCTAGTACCTTAACAATAAAACGATAAGTAGTAAATAAACTCAATAAACACAACGAATTACACTTATCAATAAACAGATTTATTCAGAGAGCGTCCATATGGCTTTATTGCACTGTTAAGTAACCCTTTCTCTATTTATTATTTGCGTTTAAATGATCGCAGTTGGTAGGGTTGAAGACGTCCTTATCGCGTCATGACGCTTGTCGTCGACTTCCACCGACGTTGCTGTATTATCAATCTGTGTAAAAAAACAAAATCAAGACTGTAATTTGAAATGAGTCAAAAGTCTATTATATTTTCCCTTGAAAATGACTTTATCTATAACAATAGGATATGGAAGCGAAGCTGTGCACCGATTGTAAAGGGTTACAAGAAAAGCGGAAATCAGTGTAGAGAGAGAAAAATCGCGACAAAGGAAAAGGCACTACAGGAATGGAATAACGCAATAGCTGAGTGGTCTTTAGGGTGCATTCACTGAAGTTGGTAGCCAATTCGGGGACAATTCACCGAATCATGACTGTTGTGTGGCCGTTGTTGGTACGCTCTTATTCCATGACTATTTAATAATAGCTTCAACTGCAAACACACCAAAATAATAGACAAGTAGAACACATGTTCAAATCATATAATACACATATCCCAATAATAGAATAAATATGAAGATAATATTTGATTATTTGACCTGTTTTAGCAAAATAAGTTTTATTATTTCTTAGAAAACTAGATGATTTTAGATTAGCGACTGATTCAAAACACACTGCTCTCTAACATAAATTTAACCATGAAAAATATAAACTCATTATTAAAAAAAGCAAAAACAATTTATTATCAATAATTTTTGTGAAATAAATGTTGTTTTATAATTTTTACAACCCAAATTTTTGTTTTTTGTCTTCCATCAAAATTCAATTGTTAAATAAATGTTATTCTTACACATTGCTTTTTGTCGGTCAAGCTTTCCAGAAATAAAGCATTTTCGGATAATTGTATATATTGTAGAACATAAATAACTCTTCACCGCAGTTACAAAAAAAACTTACTATAAGACACAACTCTGCTCTCAGAATACTTGCACTAATAATAACTAACAAAATTAATAAGAATTTGAAAACATGAAAAAACGTGTACAAACATATTTAGAGATTATATTTTTAAATTTAACTTAACTTAACACATATTAGAAAATGACCATTACGCATAAACATATAAAACTAAAAATGTCTTTCTCAAAAACTCAATCCTTTTCTTCAAGTAAAAGCCTTTAAGTATTTATTAAAAAAAACTTGGTTGTCAAATTTACAAAAATTAAATTTTTTTTGAATATTAAAGTTCATGTTTAATTTTCAAACTTTTGTTTATTTTGTTTCTTTACATTAGTTTGTTTTCCAATTTGCAAACCGTTACTTTAAGCAAATACTTAATACGATTTTCGTTTTATATAACAGATAAGAATTTGACTATGTACACCCAGATTTACATTTTAAACAAAAAAAAAATAAAGGTCATTGATCTATTTTATTCACACAATAATTCAATATTTGCGCTATACCTAGTTTTGGAAATTAAAAAAATTCCTTAACTGATTACATAAAAAAATTCTTGGTAAATCAATACATCAGATAAAAGAAAATGTAAAACTAAACTACTTTTCCAGAAACTAGTTCTGTATTTAATAAATAAGACCTTATTTCAATAAATTACTCAATAACATTAACGCAAATTAGCCAATTTTTGATAATACGAGTATAAACAGTTGTTCAGATTAGACTACAATAATTTATAACTCTTAATTTACTATATACCAATAAAAGTATGTAATAAAAAAATGCAATCAAATTGACAATACTTCTAGCAAGTTGAAGTAAAATACCTAATTAGTAATTAGGTACTACCTAATTTATTTTTATAATGCATTTGTAAAACAAAACAAAAATCGTAATAACAAAAAAAAAATAAGATGACAATTATTATTATTGCGTTTTATCACTGCTGTGATAGCATGTAGGTTACTAAGAAATAAAGACCTTATGCGTTTCGTAGTGTATCAATAGCACTTAATCTCATATTAGTAATAAAATAATTGATGTAACTTTCTAAAGTTTCTCAAGTATTTTGTTAACAATAAATATAATTTTATTTCAGTTTTAAAATTACAACTCTTTAACACACGGTTTCATGTCTGCTTCC